ATATATATATATATATATATATATATATATATATATATATGAATCAATGCGGTAATACGCACTTTCTATTTAATCAAACCAGATCTGTCACTTAGCATTAAATGCGGAAATATGTGCAGTTACAAAACGCATACTCAAAGTGCGTTAATGAATGGAACTCGTGGAAGAACCGATAGTTACCTTGAGGTAAATAATACATTTTCAGGCTGCTTTCCATCGGCTTACAAATCAATGTTAGTGTGCCGTTAGATGCGATAATCAAGCTTCCACTACTTGACAGAATGGATCGCGTGACCAAATCGATTCATTATCTTCGATGAACGGAATGATTCGAATTCGAGTCTGTAGTCATTGCGACAAAATAACAGATTGTACCGTTTAAAACAGCCGTTACATCCACCAACTAATGGGAGAGTTGTTGAAAACATTGATATCTGTTGGTAAACTTGAACTGACGTGATCGTAGAAATGTTCGAGATAATCACTCAACTTGTGCACTCTCATCAGTGGACAACGTGTGACATCTGGACGACAACTGAGAATGGAAAAAACGTTTGCTGTTTGCTCTCAAATAAAAGAATTACAGGACAGAGCAGGTTCTTTTTTTGGGGGGGTGGGGGGAGGGGAGGGAGGTAATCCGATTTATTTTTGAACTCCTCAGTTTGACCTAAGGTGGTATTGGGTGAAGTTCCTAATTTTCAGTAACGATACGAACCAGGATTACGTAACAGGACAGTGAATAATTCTGCTATGTGAGCATGTTAACCGCTCCTAATCAGGTGGTGAGTGGCCGGTGCTATTTGTTTAGGTGTCACATTCATACGACGCTTGCCACGGATGCGTTCAGTCATTCCCATGCCCAAAAGTTGTATCAGTTCTTCGAATTTAGTTAGAAATGACTGCAACTAAAACACAATGTTCCAATGAAATAAGAAGTAAAACGAAAAGAATTGTGTTCATATGGTGAATTTCGTTGGGTGTTGAACAAACGAGGTTTGACGGAAACAGCTAAGAAGTACTGTAAAGCTGTGTCAACCTGTTTGGTTTTCATCAGGAGTGCAAATCAATCAAACCAACTTTGGTTCCAACCCGGGAACTCAGAGGTCAAAACGAACCATACTATCCACTTGACCGCCCGGCAACCGATCACACCGTTTCCCTTTTTGTCTAGATAATGTGTTCTCTGAATTTTCTTGCAGAGGGGTGTCACGTGTTTTGACAGCAACACAGTGCAGCAGCATAAGAACAGTTTGTTTCATGTGTTTCTTACAAAGGAAATGCCGGAATAACCGGATGTTTTTGTTTCAGACTAGCCTCAGTTTGTTTATCCCCATGAAATTCTCATCAAAATATCTCTTTCGAGTTCCCTTCAGGGAGACCACATTGAAAATCAACACAACATCTAAACATCGAATCAACTGTTTATGCCTTATTGTGGTTGAAATTCCATACTTCTATGCCGTACACAATGTGTCGATCAGACTAAGCGTAGCAGGATATGAAGTAACATCACATTCTATTCTTAGGTCATTCAATAATGCGATCGCGTTCGGTACCGGCAGGTCACAAGGGGCTATCCGTCCGTCTGTTCTCTCCGCTACTTCTCTCTGTTGATGGTACCGGTTGGATAACGTTGACACAGTCTTGCATTCTGTCATTTCGGGTTTATTTGGTTCTATGCAATCCAAGTGAAATTTACGAATCATTCCTAACTTGAACTACTGTAGTTACTGGTTAACCGGGCATCTGTTGAAGTCCATTGTTATCGGTTAGACATCATTCGACGCGATTCCATTCATTTCTAACAGTTCAACATTTTCAGCGTTTGTTGTGATCGTTGGTGGCTGGTTATATGGAGTTCGTGTTGTTGGTGGTGGTGGTTGTAGTAGGGACAGGGGCCAATGCCTTTTTCGAAAAGATTCAATCTAATGCTGGGTTGTTAGCTTCTTTGTAGTTCCACTGTTGTGACAAACCGGATGGATGTGAACCACGGCGCAGGATAGCTGGCTGTTTTGAACCTGAAGTGGACACATAAATAGATCAAAATGAAACACTGTACACAGATTTATTCACGATCCCGAACCCTGCAGTTCTGAGACCCGATTTCGGTTGCTCATTTTGTCCGTTGATGAAGGAATAAGAAAGTCTCAACAAAAATTGAGTTATACTAATTTATGGGTAAACGTGGCAGCCGCACCAGTCTGACTCTTCCGACGTATGGTATACCCATCATCGTGTGCTCGTGCAGAACTTCGTTCCAGTCCTATCGCGATAAAACCCCCATCAGGGGTGGAGAATCGATTGTGTCACGTGATATGCACATCTCTCCCAAGCCACAGTAATTTACTTAGTTCAATAACTTGTTTTATTGTGTGATCATGATTGCACAAGACTCACTAAGATGCAGCACTAATCATTTTATTGAATCATCAAACTCATGCTATCGCAAACAGGTAATGGTGCTCGCATACCGGTAATCAACGCTCGTCTTCAACCGACTTTGTTTCATCCTGCTTCAGTGTGTTGCTGAAGGACGCCTCTCCCCCACACACTTTTTTTACGGCATATGAATCTCGTAGCTCGTGGATCTGGGCCCTAACAACTCGAACAAACCCATCTGAGGTCTGAGTTCTTTGTTCTTTGAAGTAGGCAACTTATAGGACCGTAATCACAGACTATTTAAAATGACCCGAAGTAGGTAATTTTCACGCGAATAGTCAATCACTCAAGCCAAAGGAAGCAGCGCAACAAAGTTTAAGGTCAGATCGCACTACTGAATCTATCTCTCTCCTTTTCGTTGGAGAGTGTTTACTGGAAAGTGAATTGTCATGTGTTTTCCATCATCGTATACTCGAATAGGTTAACCATCTAGTGATTGTAAAGTGTATGAAACTGCGTCTAACACACAAACAAACAAACAAACCGTTATTGATCTCCCTGTTAAGGAAACGGACATATTGGTTTTATGAACAATCGAAGAAGAAAAAACACCCAGCTTTGCTAACCGTAGATCATCATTTGATGAAATACATGTGATGAATGGGAACTACTTGTTTGTTTGTTTCTTCTCAGAATAGTGCTCATAGTGGGTGAAGGTATGCTGGTAGTGAGACGAGGACATATAGTCAATAAATGTTTTTCTAACCCGGAGTAAATAGGTGGGCGTGATGGATTTCAATCCGGTCACGATTGTCTGAAACATATTTTCGTGTGGCGTGAAGTGCTAGAATTACCGCACACAGACACCACGGATTACAGTGTGTACACAGTCGTTATCGACCTCAACGGGGGGTGGTGGTGGTGGTGGTGGGGGGTGGTTGATCTCATTTGCGCATGGGGTCCGGTTGAATTAACTGTAGTATGTGAACATGCATTCCAAAATTATCTCCATGCATAGGAATCACTTTATTTACAAACATTTCCGGTTCACTACTGGTCTACTATGAACTACAAACCTCGGTCATTATCTGTATATGGAAACCCCACAAGTATCACTTTGTAACCTGTTTACTTTTGTTTCATTTTTTGTTGTTGAATAGACAGTTGCATGACCTATCTCTGGAAAAAGAGGTTGAGACAAGTCATAGGTTTATCGAGGAACATAACTGATGAATATGAATGGGATTCGGAGATACGATCTACGAAAAGCTGTACTAAAGACATCATTCATTTGGCAGTTGCCACCAATTTCATTTGTGAAATTCAGTTGATTAATCTCAAAAATATGCGCATTCTCAAAATACTACAGTCAGATAATTCATGCATAGTGACCTCTCTTCTCCCGTCCGCCTGTATTGTCTTCAGGCAAACTTCCCTCTTGGGCTGTCAACAAAGTTACCCATTTTGTCGCACCCCGAGTGATCAAACGGATCGCCAAAGCCTGTCACGGTTATGAGGCATGGAAACGGTCTCATCGACCTGAATTTAAACCATGGCTGTTCCCAGAACAATGTGAATTACCGCGTCTCAACTGGTCCGATGTTCCCGCGGCCCCAGATATTGATCTCACTCCGGAAGTGGTGGTAGACGAGAGTCAAGTAGCCGATGTGAACGGAAACAGTATGGACAAAGATGACGACTGAGATGTGTCATGTTCAGCCATCAGAATGCATAGTCCAGTGAACAATCAGAGCTGTATCAACGACAATGCAAGGGCTGACAGTTTATGCGTTTTGAATCGCGTCCAATCTCCGCGCCATGCAATCAGTTCAACGTCGATTTAAAGTTGTTTTTATAAAGCTGAAATGCAAAATAAAAACTTGAGAACCAGTCAAAAAACACAACTCAGCCACCTTCACTCATTCCATCCTTTGTTAGGATGTTTCATGCTCCTTTAATACCAGTAATTTTTCTTTCCATTCCTACCTACTCGATATGCTCCCTTGTTTCGATTTCTGTTTCTATTCTGTTGATTTAGAACCGGTCAGTCGGGAAAATTAGTCCCTGTTTCTCAGATGAGATATCAGCACTCCTCACATTCCGTACGTATACAGTTTTCTCTGAATACGGAAAAAAGCGTTCGTTTTTCTCCCTCTTTGTGAATTTCACAATATGCGTTACCTCGCACTAGTATACGCACGTGATATGGCTTAAACTTCACAAAACAGCCCGAGGACCTTACCACTCTTTAAGCGTACACCGCAGCATTCTGGTTCTTATTCCTTTGTGTCAAAAGCATACCCACGGAAAAGTAAAAAAAGTGCTGTATGTTGGAGTGTTGTTGCAAAACGGTCCACGTTTGGACAGGTAAACTCGAGTGAATAGAACGTTGCACCATTGCTTTTTGTCTGACCTCCTTAGAATCCAAGTGAATTGGAGGAGTATTCTTGACTGACAAAAGGTTTTCTAGGGTTTTCCGTTGACGAACAACAATAAACGTGCATTCGAAACCCACAAACTATAAGAAGAAAGCGAATAGCTTTCAAATTATACAAGTTCGGTTCTATTTAGAGGTAAATGACATCAAGTTCACGCTCAATGCATCATACTAACGCAATCGAACCGAAAATAAAACTGGTCTTAAACTCATACGTATCCCCCCACCGCTACGATTAGTTTATTTCCGTTGTTCACCTCAGTATTCAGCATCAACTAGAATTTATTCCCCATCTGACTTGCCTATTCGTTTTTTTCACGCAAACCTCTGACTATTTGAGGTTTTTGGAATGAAAAGAAACTAAAATTTGAAATTTAGTTTATTAATAAACATGGGAATGGATAAGACGAGGTCCTTACAGTTTTAGGAATGGATATTTGGACTACAAATGATTCACGGTTTTCTGAGCTGATATAGCCATAGTTTACATTTTAACTGTAAGTCGGTGCTGTGTGGTTTGATGGTATCGTTGATTACGGCTCAATCTTTTTCGGTGTTTCCTCCAGTGGAAAATATTTTCTTTACTCGATTTCGAAAACTCTGCTTCGTGTCTGGGTCGATATGGAATCCACTGGTGAGCTTAAATGACCTCCCACAGGATGCAATCGAGGTGTTTTTCGGCTTTCGCCCGAAATCGAATCCGGTCCTCAGTTTCCTGTCCCATTGGTTCTTCTGCCGGTGATGTCCTACCTGAAATAATGTCCAGTCAGTTGTTCAATTTGACATCCAATGAGATATGCTTACCTAATTAAAAGAATTCTTTCGGATAATAACCAGAGAAATATGTTTTGGTAAGTAAATTGAACTGTCCGATTTCCAAGGTGCATTGAGTATATATTTAGTACTGTTTAAGTTTTTCATGAGCAGCTATCGCCTATCTCAGGCTTCATCCGGTATCCGATGTTTTAAGACAGCCTTCTATCGAAAAAGTGTTTGATTCCGTCATTGACATACAAAGATGCTACCCTGGCATGTCGTACCGGACTGATCACAAAATCGCTAACAGGTGTAAACCAGTTGGTCACTGGTTACCAACATACTGATTTATACAGTTCCGTGTTCGAGTTCCATGAGCTCCAGTTCATTTACATGCTACATATTGATAATCAAGAGAACACAATGGACTATTGGAACCTCACAAAGGTTATCGCTTCAGACTTTTGTTTGAGTTAGTATTGTAGGAAACGGTGCTCGCGGAGAAATTTGTTTTCCATATATCGCATTAGGTGGTTAAACATGTGAGGTGATCATAGTCAAGATATCTGAGTGATCGATTACAGCTCAGTTGAGAGAAAAGTCACGGAGGGGATAAGAGGAAGAAGATCAAATGGAAAACGGTAGAGAAATGGGCAGATTAAATGTTGATGAAAATTGTGAGCTAAGACGAAAAATTATACTGGATGTAGTTCGGACTTCACCTTCAGGCAGAATCTTCAGTTCATCTAGTCAACCATACACTCGGATGAATTGAGGATTGTGTGTGAAGGTGAAGTTCGAAAGTTAAGGCAGGTAAAATCAACATCAATTATGCCAAACAACTAATCACAAGTAACTGTGAGTCAAATGCAAATTACGTAAGATACACTGGAAAGTATATGTCATGCATAGCAAGTAATGTAATCCGGGAAGGGATAAATGGGGATAAAATAACTAATGGCTAAGATTGTGGGTGAAGGGTGTGGGCGTGGGGAGGAGATTTGGTGCTCTGCTTTATGCACTGGTCAATCCGCCTTCTGGGTCAGGGCAACAATAGAGTTGGAATCAGCTATTGCTTGTATAACTCTGGGTTGAAAATGCGAGTTTCAATCTGCTCGACCGTGGTTAAAAGGCGTTTTCTCATTCCCGTAGAAGATCTTTGTGAATTATTTTCAATACATCCAATTTATTTGCATGTCTGCTATCAGCTAGATGTCCAAGAACCGAGCTGCGAATGCACCTAACCGTTCCTTTGTAGAGGACAGTTCTCTGTAATACGTTTTGATAATCACCAGGTCGTATGTCCAATGTATCGCATACTATAATTGCATCTTGAAAGATATAAAAAGAAGGATTTGCACTGGCAAGTTGTCTTTCGTTTGCTGGAACATTAAGGGTTGAGTGGTAATGAGAATATACGTTTGAGCTGCAGGGAATGTTCTAGAGATCACTTCAGAAAAACGTCCTTCGAAAAGTTCTTCGGTATCGTCACTCTTCCACGGAACGCCAAGGAAAACGTTCTTGCTAGGAACGGTTCGGCTTTTTCTTATATTAGTCTTAGTCTTATCAATAAAAGCTTCTGGGCGGCCATTTGACCGAAGCACGTCATGGATAAAACGTATCTCGGACTGCAATGTATCAACACTGCTAATAACAGGTGCTCGGTATGATAAACCAGGTCGCGTTTGTATTTCAAGGGGGATAAAGCTACAAAAATGTGTATACTGTCCAACCCACCTTGTTTTGTGGACAACGCTTCTGTGGATGGTACAGTCGTCTCGCTTTCTTAACTGCATATCTAAGAAGACTATTTTTCCGCTTCTAATTCGCAGGTGAAACGAATATCCGGGTGAAACGTATGGAGTTCGTCAAGAAGCTGTGTGTAGCTGATGTGGGAATCGCAAACGATAAAAGTATCGTCCATGTACCTGCAATATATGTCGAATTGTCTCTCAAAGTTTCATTCACCAGGTTGGCTAGGAAAATATCAGCCAATATGGGACCTAGTGGACACCCCATGTCCACCCCGTCGATTTTTCTGTAGAACCTGTCATTGTACAAAACTGTATGTTAAAAGTACATCTGAGAATCAACTCTTTCAATTTGTTCACCGGAATTCCGACGTGGAACCAAGAAGTCACATATATGATTAAACTGTCTCTGTCAGCGGTACGTTTGTAAACAAGGATTCCACATCGAAGGACATAGTTTTGTTGAGAACATTGGGGTTTTCTGTCTTCTCTATAAAGCTAAATGTATTCTTCAGGCTATGTTTGACAATCTTTCGGCGTACTGGTTCTAGTAGTTCTGCGATCCATTGAGTTACAGCATGATATGGAGAACTTAATTTCTCAAATATATAGGCCGTATGGTCTATGTACTCCATGTAGTCCGTAGAGCCCCGGCAGTAAGTATTCGGTTGGCGCCAGCTTTTGGGAAACTGCGTGTGATACATAACCTCTTATTTTGAATTTTCTCAAGATGGACGTTAACATAGATAACGTTTGCTTCATAATTCCTTTCTCATCTGGTCTAGCGGAAAATTTGGTGGAGTCGCTTGTGAATTTTCTACAGTTTAGATTGGTTATCAGCTTTATCGAGCAGTACCCAGCTGACCTCTTTATCCGGCAGAGACTTTATGCTATGACAGTTTTTTAAACAACGATGATGATTGTTGTTTTTGTAGCTCGGGTAGTATAACTTGATATTCAGTTGTTCGCCGAGCTTGGCAATTGTATTGCAAATGTGTCACCACCAATCGAGATGATGCGCGCCCTTTGACTGACTGCGCTACAATCTCGTGTTATCACATCTCATCAAATTTGAATGATTTTTGTCATTATTATGGCCTTTGTTCGTCGATATACCAGATCGGAGTTACTTCTACTCAAACTCTAACGAATTCACATCACGATTTGATTGAACCACCCTCAATTCTCTCGGATTTCGGAATTCACACAAAAGCACAACCGGGCCGGATGACAAATTGCTCTTAACTGCACCCCTCCGTCAACATTGTCCTTCCCATCACTACTGAGTACGAACATACTTCATTGTTCACGAAAATCTCGGATTTATCATTTGTTCTTCGTTCACGTTAATACTTGTCTCATTTGCATACAAGAATCTTGGCTGAACCTTCATGTTGCTGACGCGTTAATGTCCATTGACTGATTTAACCTGTACCGGCAGGGCAGGGAAACATGTGGCAAGAAATCCGGTGCTGGTGTGGTTACATACATCAACACTTCGTGGTGCGGCAAATCAGATGCCGTTTACTCATACTCAAGTAACGATATTGATTGTTTATCTCTTCAGTGTTACCCTAAATTCTCACGTCATAGAAGTACCCTCATAAAGAACCTATATATTGCTCCGTTTTGTACGCAAAATACCATCTCGACATTCTTCTACTCGTTTTTACCTTTTCTTGTACCACTGCTTGAGGACAACCTGCACATTATTGTAGGTGATTTTAACCATACTTCAACCCGGTCTCTCACTGCTTTT